GTGTGTGTGTGTGTGTGTGTGTGTGTGTGTGTGTGTGTGTGTGTGTACTGGGTGATGTTTACACCCACTGCTTCTCAATGAGGCATTTCTCTGTTCAAGATGTTGAGCGTAACTTTTCTCTTTCCAATCAGTGCTAATCCTGTGTGTTTTAATAAACTCAGTTTTATTCAATGAAAATAATTTGGTTGCCTCCAGTGGTGACAGGAGTTCAGCTTTGTGCTCTGAAATGTCTGCCTTAGAAAGTTCCCAATTTAATAATGTTTTTGAAAATGCAATGCTAGTTTTTTCAGATAATTTAGTTATTTGGTTGTCATTTTTGTCCTCTGGTGGCCAAGGCCAACACTGTCCACCCACTGGCTTCACCATTCTGACCATTGGCTCCTGGTCTTGGATAAAATGTCTCCTTCCACTCACCAGGATCTGTGATCTGCCTCAGAAAAGTTGAGCCACAAAAAAAAAAAAAAAAAAAAACTCCCTCTGTTCTAGGTGATGAAACTTCTCCCCACTTGAATATCTTACACCAAAAAACATTGTTTACTTGCAATCTGATGGATAAAAATATCCTCTATTCATCTTACTTACTCAAAGAAGCCACACTCAAGGATACGAGAAGATTAACTTTTACTTTAAAGGGCAGATTTTCACCTCAGGTTACACAGATGTTCAGAAGTTCTACATGCATGGAGTCTCTGCACCTGGCAGTGTGCGGGAATTGTTTTTATTCGCTTATCAGCTCTCGACACAGATGGGCACTTGATGTCCTCGACCACCCAGCTGTACATGCAGGATCAAATCAGCCCTCTCTGAGAGAGAAAATAACTCTCTAACTCAAACACATGGTTCATGGGCATTTAACATTCTCAGCCATAGTAGTTAAAACATCCATAAACCTTGATCAAAAATCCTCTGACTGAGTCCTTTTTCATTTCCAGTCCAGGACTACAAATATTCACTATTCATATCCCTCAGTGATGGGGGACATTGGCAAACAGTTTATTCCTAAAGAGTTGCTACATTTGAGTGCTGAAAACATGTATGACAATTAAATGTTTAATTCTACTTATTAAGTATTTACTGTAAAATCCAGTCGAGTTGTGTTGTGGAGATTGATGGAACCCAGTCCTGTTGCATAGCCAGCCATGTTCTGTTGAAGGATAAGAGTGTACAGGAATGCTTGGAGTACATTTCAATGTCAAGCTTTAATATATTTACTAAATTGGGTGCTCTTGTACACATGGTATTGTAAAAATCTGTTTCTCCACTATGAATGAGATAGTTGTGTGGAACAGAGAAGTAGAAATTGTGTGAACTGATCATTTAGTAAGCTGAATAATTGAAGGACAGTGTAAATACAGTGTTTTATTGGAGATTTAACTCACTACTTATGGGAAAACACTGAATTTATTAATAGTTTATGTACTGTAAATGTTGGAAAAAAAAGATTTTATCTTTGCTGAATAAAATGTTAACTCTTTCACAGAGTTCTTCTCTATTTTGTACTTGAGGGATAACATTTAATTTAAAACTAACTTTTTGATTTCTCACCTGTATTCTATAAATGTTCATTCACTGGAGTAACGCATTCAGCATCGATACTTTCTCCCATGCAGAACTTTTCTCCTTGGCTTTTCTACACTGATGTCTTTATTTTTACTGACAGCCATTGTTCTACAAAGTTCAAGTTCAAGAATCATTATTATTCCCGAGGGGCAATTTGTTTCAGTCAATTTGCACACAAAACATCCAGATTAGACACTGAGACATTAAAACAACAATACATGAAATCATCAGTGTTCATTGAGACGCCTGATCTCTACAGGGATGAGTGAGTTTTTCAGTCTGTTTGTTCTACATCTGGGCAGCAGATACCTGCATCCAGATGGAAACAACCTGAACTCACCATGGAGTGATGATCAGGATGTGCCAGAATCAGCCTGGCCTTGTTCACTGACCTCACCTTGTGTAGGTCGGTGAGGTTCTGTAGGTCGGTGAGGTTCTGTAGGTTGGTGAGGTTCTGTAGGTTGGTGAGGTTCTGTAGGTCTATACCAGCAGTTTTGCTGCACATCCTGACAATCTGCGAGAGTTTGTTCCCGTTTATTCATGTCAAAAGTCCAAACCAACAGAAGAAGGTGAAAGTTAAATGAGACTCAATAAAACATGAATAAAACATTCTCATAAAAGTAGAATCAACATTCAAACCACAGAGCTTCAGATAAAAATATATTCTCTGGTGGGCGTTCTTTCAAAGTGAGTTCACATGGGGGTCAAAGGTCAGCTTGTCATAAGAACAGTTTCCATATATTTCTAACGAGTCACCACCTCAGCAGCTTCACCGTTAATGACAACAGGAGTGTCAGCTGAAGAGTCTGTTCTGAAATCAATGACCATCTCATTTGTCTTGGAAACATTTAACTTTAAAAAGGAAAACTCTTGACAAACTGTTTTTGTTTGTTTTGTTTTTGTACTGTGGCTTTGTGGGTTTCTGGATCCAGTTTTTTACTTTTTTTTATTGTTTAAACCTTTCGATGAACTGAGGTTTCATTAAAGGTTTATTTGAACTGGACTGAACTTAACATGGTTTCTAAATGTTGGTCATCTTCCTGTGGTAACAGCAACTCAAACACAATAGTCCACATTCCCTTCACAGCAGCTGCTTGAACCGGAATCAATTGGACATTCAAGCTTGTCTCTTCTGCACTGTTCAGTCTGTGTCTCTCTGTCCACTGTTCCTCCAGATCAACAACAAGGCTAATGTGGTCACCAGCCCCAAAGAGCCTGTCCCCACACCTTCTCTGGTACACTGTCTGCCTGCCTTTGTGTACTGCATGGCTCTCTCTATTCATACATCTGTTCATATCAGTGACATCATTGCTGAAAACAAACAGGGGTTTTAGCCTCTTCTACTTTGTTGATAATTTATTTTCTGTTCATTACCTGTTTTACTGCTTGTGGGTTATCCACCCATCATTTTGCTTTAACGTATTGCATTGCTGCATTGTATGTGGACTGCATTCTCCATTGTTGTTGATGCTAAATGTAATGGCACTGGTGCCATTATTAAAGCGATGTGACTAATAAACGGTAGCTTTAAGTCTGTTTTTTCAGCCTATGCGTAGTTCAGGTTTGTTTGGGATGGTTTGTGTTGGTCTTCAGGTGGTTCGCCATTAAAAATACTCTTCAATTATCGCCTTTTCAAAGAATCATCTGTATGAATTTTATGGAGTCGTTTTCTTCTACCCTCTTGAGAATTCCTATTTCTGGACCCATCTGCTTAATTTCCATTGGGAAGTTGTTTGTTTGTTTTTATCAGCATAGTCATTAAATAAGCAAACCAGCCCTTCCCATGTTAAGTTACTGGTGTAGACCACATCTATCAGTCAAATTATGACTACTGACAATTGATGTGGAAAAAATATATTCAAATAATAGCATCTTGCAGCTGGTGGGCTGAACTAGGCAATACATTTTATCTCAAAAATCGTTGTGCTGTGAACAAATAAACAAGCGAGCTGTCACCAAAGGCAACATTTATACTGTTGGACAGCTGAGCCACCTGGTCAGCAGTGGTTAGGACTTTCCAAAAAGGGTTAAAGAAGAAAGATTGATGAATCACGATGGAGTTCTAAGCAGCAAAGCCTCTTTAATGTACATACAGAAAGTATGTTCCAGTAGAAGGGTTGCTGCTACATGCGTTGCACTGAGTGTTAATGCTGATTTCAGTGAAATGTCAGAGCATCACAGAGCATTAGTTGTATGAGGCTGTAACCAAGCCCATGTTGACCCATGTGCTACGATGGACATGGGAGCATCATAATTGCACCATGAAGCTGCAGGATAAAAAGAGTAGCCTTAACTTTATCACAAACTTTCCTTTTACATCATAGTGGTGTTATTCACTTATCTGACAAGACATCAAGAGGAATATTTGGAATACAAGTGGAGTTCCAAAATGACAGGTTTGTGCCGTATTTTCCAAGGAAACATTGGAACTCTGTCATTTATATAGAGAGCCTATAAAAATATTCACCCCCTTGGGTGTTTTACAATTTTATTGCTACTAAAATCAGTCATGGCCAATATAAATCGGTCTTTTTGACAAAAAAAAATAATTTTGTTCGCCAAGTGGAATCTAATTTCTACGCATTAAAGGTGAATAATTGAAAATGTCATGTAAATTCAGTGATTGTATAAATATTCACTTCTGTTTTAATGCGACTGAAAAGTACAAGTCAAGCGATGGATATGAAATGAGTTTCTAGGCCCTAAAGGAGTTTTGAGAAGTGGAAGGAAAAAGGGGGGCATGTGTAAATCTACCAAGAGCAGGCTGTTCTTACAAACGGTGCAACCAAAAATAAAATAAAAAATTGGGCGAGACCACCAAGACACCTGAGACCACTCAGAATAAGTTACAAACTTCAGCAGGTGAGATGGTTAGACACAGAGTATACGTCAGCTGCTGCCCAAGTTCTTCATCACTCTGGACTTTATGGGAGAGCGACACAAACTGAGCCTATGTTGAAGGAAAGTCATACAACTTTGACTAGAGTTTGCCAAACGCCATGTGGAAGGGCACAGTGAAGCGCTTTTCAGCTGCTGACCCTGCAGGGTTGTAAGGAAAGGGTTGAATGAACGCTACGAACTAAAGAGAAGTCCTGGAAGACATTCTGCTGCTGTCTGCAAATGAACTGTTGTATGCAGTTTTGTGGACCGGTTTAACCTGGTGGTCCACCTCTTTCTTTTTATGCTAAGCTAGGCTAACAACATTCATTTGAGAAGGCAGTGTTTCCCCTAGTTCACTTGCCTTGGCAGGGTGCTCGTATCTTCCATTATTTTTGTTGAGTGGGGGTGGGGGGCGGAGATGGAGACACGGCTGTGTGGTGCACCGTTTGTATTGACAGTTTTCAAGTGGGGGGGGGGGGGGGTAGATGGCTCACTGTGAGGGAAACAGAGGGCTACCTCTGTAGCTTTTCAGCTAACGCATCTGTATAATGTGCGCTGCTAGCTTAGAACTGCGTCAATGCCTGAAGTTGTCTGGGGGGGCTCCAGTTCTGTTGACAGGGCGGGGCACCCTGCTTGTATAATGGTAGGAGAAACGGTGTTGAACACAAGCTGTATTTCAGTGAATCCAGTCTTAAATGCATTTTATTCAGAGCTCCAGCTGGTGACTCACTTTGTCCCATGACACTCAGAAATGCAACATGAATGAGACATTTACCTAAAGGCTGCACTTCTATTAGTATTTTATGTACCAATATGTTTAAGGTTGTGTGTAGTTCAGCATTTCAAGGCGTGTTTTTTAGCTGATTGTCGAGAAATGATCTTGCTAATGCATATCTGTGTAAGAAATCAGTAGCTGTCAGTATCGAGCTCATTAAAATTGTATAACGTGTAGTAAAGAACTTTACAGGATCTGAAAAGTTTGACTAGTTTCACCGTCATCCCATCCCATCTGTCTGTAACAATACTGCAGTTTACTGTCATTGTTTGATGTTTGGGGAAAAGCAAGACTTTGCTAAACAGCCATTTTATCATCCTCAACTCTTTAACTCTTTGGTTGTTTTTAATTTGACTTTTCTCCTAACACACTTTATTTTGACACAAACCTGCTCTTCTACTGTTGGTCCTTTCAACTCAGGAGCCTCAAACCACTGTTATCCACAACCCAGCTGATGGAAACAAGGTATCCAGCTGATCAGTCCCTTCTCTGAAGCTGTAGTCGACTGCTGATGTGCACCGTTTAGTGTAGAGCTTTAATGTTGCTTCTGATCATGTTTGCGTTCCATTGGTGGTTGTTAAAATGTGACATTGTGTGAGAGAACAAAGCACTACAGACTCTGTTAACTTTTGCATGCAGCTCTTCCATTTCACTTCGTTCATGTGTTTAAAAAGTTACTTATTAATTTTTGACTTAATGCAACTTTTATAAATGTCTTTGTCTGAAGACATTGTTACCCAACAAGCCAAAGTTTAGAATTATATTAAAGTATAATTATTTAATAATTTGTTTAACATTTGTGCAACATTAAAATGTGCATGCATTTGGAACAATACAAGATCCCTTTCACACAAAATCATGACCCAACTAACCTCTCCATGAGACAAAGTGACTGGATCATTTCACATTTGGAGAACCGTGATGATATGCTCATAGTGTATGACAAAGGATTTTCCTGCCGTTTTAAGTTCCTGTGCTCTCATCACACACGTGCACACACTGGCACAACCTTTCAGACTGCACCAGGATGCAGCTACAGTATATGCTGCATCTTGCCATATGAGTGCAATGCTACAGCCACCTGAATGATCTGTGCTAGTTGTTTCTATGGCCATGGGAACACCTTTTGTGGTCTCTGCTTCAAACTCTCAGTGACCAAGCTGATGCACACAGGTTCCACGTCCTGGGTCCACTGCCTTTATAGTGACACTGTATTGACTTTACTGATTATGAGGAAACTATGCTTTCTACTTTTTATATTGCTTAAAGGTATAGTTTCCTCATATTTGGGGTGGCCATAGATTATACTCTGGTGGTCAAGGCCAAAATTGTCCACCCCCTGGCTTCTCCACTGCGCCTGGTGGTAGATAAAATGTCTCCCTCCACTCTCCAGGATCGGTCACTCTGCACCACCTCAGACAGGAGAGAAAAGATAACTCTCTCTGTTCTTCTCCACAGTATAACTCCTACCCACTTGAATATCTTGTTCCAACAACTTTAAGATTTACTTACAATCTCTGTTCAATTCCAGTCCAGAACAACACTCATCTCCAAAACTACAAACATTCACCATTCAAACCCCTCAGGGGTCATCAACGTACCTCTTCTTTAGTAAAATGCGGAGAGTGCTGAGACTAATAGACTTCTAGAGACCTGATCAAGGTCCTGCAGACCATCCACGTTCTGGATGATTTGTCATTATGAGGTTGTTATCCAGTGTGAAAGGAATCTAAAGACCATGCAATAACATGGATACAGAAACTGTTCTAAGTCAAATCCTCTTAAGAACTGCCCAAATGCATCTGCATTATGTGGATGCTTTGCTTGTTCAGACCTATGGACCTCTGTTGATGTATAATCCATCAAACAACGATGCTCGAACACATGCATGCTTGGTATGCTTTCTGTCACTATGCTACACAACAGTGTTGTAGCACATAGTGTAGCATACCATGTTCCTGTGCTCATTAAGACTTGTGTAGGCTTCAACGTGAGGATGTGCAGCTGTTTGCTTAACTCATTGTACAACCACATTTATGTGCTTCTGCCTCTTGACGTCACAAACATTAGTTCAACTTTTCATGCAACTTTTGTAACAGAATGAAAAGAAGCACAAATTAAAAATAATTTGTGGCTAAAGGCATCCAGATATAAGTGTTGCAATCCTCACTGCTGGAGGATATTTGCCTCTTATTTTCTGGAAACGTCAGTTGATGGAACATCCAACTGTTTTCCCGATGTTTTGCACCATCTGTCTGAAGGTGATGGGTAAAAACAGAATGAGTGTGAAAGTAGTGAATATGTAGCGCTCTGGACTTCTGTCTGTCCTTGTCTGTCCCCTGTAGACTTGTATTCTTTCATTATTATTCATATGTACCTGATTTGTCCTTTCACAGGAGTCCAGTGAAAGTGCGAACACCACCATTGAGGATGAGGATGTGAGAGGTAGGACCTGCATATAAACCTTTCTGTTAGCAAGGGGAATTTAACACCCCCCCCCCCCCCCCCACCACACACACACACACACACAAATGGGTCAGAATTCATATCACAATCTAAAGTTTTTATTGTTGCATGAACCCCTGTCATACCTGCAAACTTGTCGCTTTTCAGCGAAATTCACTGATTTCAATCAAAAATATGTCATTCATGTGAATCATCTAGATCCAAAGATTTTTTTTATTGGGTAATGGGGAGTCAGAGACGTGGTAGATGGCATAATTTCCCATTGATTGGACTTTCATAGCGTTAAGCTAAAGCATGTAAATCACGCTAGCTAGCTCTCAACACAGCTGGTGCTAGCTCATAAATGCTAAGCTATTGCACTTACGTAGTGCTACCTTAGTGCTACGTGAGTACCGGCAATTGCCAGCAAGTGGGGGTGTGCGTTAGAGAAGCAGAGCACTACGTCTGCAGCATCTTAGCTAGCGTGTCTGCTAGCTTTGCGCTACGTAATTAAGACATAAGTTTTTGCTATTAACAAAATGCTTTGCTATATTTTGTTTCTCTGGTTGGCTTGCTGCTGCTGTTGCTTTTATATTTTGGTTGACTAGCCATCTTTCCTATCTTTTTCTTTCGGCTGTTTCCTCTTCAGGAGTCACCACAGCGAGTCATCCTTCTCCATCTCAAGCTGTCATCTGTATTTTCTATCACTCCAACTACCTCCATGTCCTCTCTAACTACATCTCTATATCTCCTCTTTTGTTCAACTTGTCCTCTGATGATATCATTCCTAATCTTATCCGTCCTTGTCACTCCTAAGGAGAACCTCAACATCTTCATTTCTGCCACGTCCAATTCTTCTGCCTTTTTGTCAATGCTACTGTCTCCAGATTATACAACATAGCTGGTCTCACCACTGCCTTGTAAACTTTTCCTTTGACCCATTCCTTGACACCCTTTTGTTACAAATCACTCCTGAAACTTTTCTCCACCCACTCCATCCTGCCTGAACTCAATTTTTTTTTTTTTTATCTCTTTACCACATTTCCCACTGTTCTACACAGCCTGCCCTGTTCTACACAGCCTGCGCTGTTATACACAGGCTGTGTAGAACAGTGGGAAATGTGGTGAAGAGGTTAAAAAAAAAAAAGAGTTCAGGCAGGATGGAGTGGGTGGAGAAAAGTTTCAGGGCTGTTTCCCCAAACTGTTTCAAAAAACCAAGTGTTAACTGAATGTACACTGCCTGGCCAAAAAAAAGTTGCCGCCCAAAAAATAAAAAAAGGTTGCACACTAATATTTGGTGGGACCGCCTTTATCTTTGATCACAACATGCATTCACTGTGGCATTGTTTCGATAAGCTTCTGCAATGTCACAAGATCTATTTCCATCCATTGTTACATTAATTTTTCACCAAGATCTTGCATTGATGACTAGGCACTAGTCATGATGGGTGCATCACTTCACCTGCCTCTCTTCTTACCGTGATGCGCCCATCACTCTGGAACAGGGGAAATCTGGACTCATCAGACCACATGACTTTCAACCATTGCTCCAGAGTCCAATCTTTATGCTCCCTAGCAAACTGAAGCCTTTTTTTTCCAGTTCGTCTCACAGATTAGTGGTTTTCTTGAGGCTACACAGCTGTTCAGTCCCAGTCCCTTGAGTTCCTTCACATTGTGTGTGTGTGTGTGTGAAAATGTTCTTACTTTCACTATTAAAGATAACCCTGAGTGCTACTGTTGTTTTTCTTCCATTTGATTTCACCAAACGTTTAAGTGATACATCACCGCCGATCACGATCATTCGGTATTTTTTTCCGGCCACATTTCTTCCTCCAAGACGATGGGTCCCCACTATCCTTCCAGTTTTTAATAAGTGTTGGACAACAAAGTCCATGCTCAATTATCCAGGTATACAATCCAACATTTTTCAGTCAGGTCATCTGGACAGTTTCTTTTTTTGTTTGTGCTGAAACGTTTGATCTTTGATCCGGAAGGCTTCATCAGTCAAGGAAACACAACAAAACTGATTCTTCCCCCAACAGCTTACTCCAAAGTGGAACAAACCAGTTTTGCTTGTGATAAGATGGTCTCTTTGTTATGCCTCCTCTTCCTTGTTGACAGTCGTGTCAAAGCCTGGTTTTGTTGTGCGTTTCCTTGACTGATGAAGCCTTCCAGATCGAAGGTGAAACGTTGCAGCACAAAAAAAGAAACTGTCCAGATGACCTGACTGAAAAAATATTGGAATGAGTTGGACAGTTCTTAACCTAATTTTAGTAGTTTCTGCATCCTCCTCAGATGTTTTCTCTGCTTGATGCCAATGATTTGACCCTTCTCAAACAGACTGACATCTTTTCCACAACCACGCGATGTGTCTTTGACATGGTTGTTTAAGAAATGAGAAGTAACTCATTGCACCAGTTGGGGTTAAATAACTTGTTGCCAGCTGAAAGATAATCACCCATGCAGTAATTATCCAACAGGAGGCTCGTACCTATTTGCTTAGTTCAATCCAGGTGGCAACTTTTTTTTGGCCAGGCAGTTTATTGTGTCTGTATTTGCAAAGCAAAGTTCACCCTGGATCCAGTAGATGGGCAGTGTTGAGTTTTCTGCAGAAATGGCCAATGTTGGAGAGTTTGTGACCTCCATCAGTCTGTGCTGCAGCTCCCTCCTCCTGCCTCCCTATAAACCCATCTGTTGATTGAAAGCCTGCTGCCTTTGGGCCCCAACACTGAAGAGGTTGAAGAAGCAGCATGGTTTACCTCATGGTGATCAGATTTTGTTGTTGATGTCGGTTCAGGGCCTTGTTTTCAGTCAGCAGTCAGCCAGTGCTCAGTTAGCAGGGAACAACACTGGACCTAAAGCTGATGAAGGGAAACAAACTGAAAGTTTTATTGTGTGTATAGTGGCCTATGAATATATAAACTTTTACTTCACCATGTTATCTCCAAACTAACTGCATGCTCACAACAGCTCTCACTCTTTGCACCCATTGTTTTCTAGCTTACCTCCTTAGTATTAAAGGTAATGTTGATGTTGTGCTGAACCAAACCACCAGCCAGCCTTTTGTCTTTGGCCTCCACTGTTTGATGTGTGGTTCTGAAACTGATGCGTAATCCAGTCCTTCAACTTCCCTGTGTTGTGATGTCGATTCAGTGCTGTCCTCACGTACATTTTACCAGAATAGGTGCTTCTCATCACGCCTATGAGTTCAAACATAACACTCTTGTTTTTTCAGCTCGAAAGCAGGAAATCATTAAAGTGACAGAACAGCTGATTGAAGCCATCAACAACGGAGACTTTGAGGCCTACACGTAAGTTCAACCAGTATGTAATGATGGAAGACTTGGACCGCAGTTACCACAGGATCTTTGCAAGGCTTTAACATGCTGGGTCTATTTCAGGAAGATATGTGATCCTGGCCTCACTTCCTTTGAGCCGGAGGCTTTGGGCAACTTGGTGGAGGGCACAGACTTCCATCGTTTCTACTTTGAGAACGGTAAAGCTCCTTCTGCTCCACACAGTGAATGTTTGACTACAGTGAGGGTAATTTCATGACTGATTGACTGACTAAACCTTTGTATTGTCTTTTGTGGAAAAATCAATAATAAGAAATTACTTCAGCCAAAGTTCAACTCAGCCCAGAAGCAGAACCTTCTCTCAGCCAGTCGTTGCTGCAGAGTCTCTTAATCGTGGACAGAATTGTTTGTTTGGATGTAAAGAGCAAAAACTCTCTTATAATGTGCGCAAGTAAACATTAAATATGAAGAAGTTGGTTCGCATGCAGGCTGCAGCATCAGACGTTGCATGGTTTACAACGGCTGATTTTCGTTAGCGTCACCCAAAACAGGACGTGCACTGGACTCATGCAGCTCGCTGGCATATCCGGGTTAGTGAAAGCAAAAAAACATGGTTAATAAAAATAAAATGAAAGAAAAAAAACTGTTCAAAATAACCGTCCATTGTCCAACCACAGACAGACAGGAGGCGGTTTAACGAGGCTTCTGGCTACAGGATCTGAAGGATCAGGTGGGCTGGAGGGTTTACATAAAACTCCAGACTGGAAATTTTTTTCCACAAAAAACATTTATGGCATACTGAGTGAAAATTACTTTTATCTTATTATTCTTATTTATTTTTCAGAAACTGACCTAAAATATTTTGTATATTTAAACAAAAAATCTGTACGATAGAGTTTTGTTTTAATTTAGTTTAAGGCCCTAAAAAAGTTAAAATTAAATAAAAAAAATACATCTATATTGATATTTTAATATCAGGCTGAGATAGCTCTAAATGATTGACTAGTTTATTCTATAAAAAATGGGAGAAACCCCAGTATTTTAAACCAGGTGGTCAATTTATTATTTCCTCCTAAGGAACAGTAGTGGACATAAAGGATATAAAGTTAAAGGGCAAAACGAGGGTTAAACACGTCTATACAGCATTTCTATCTCAACAATGTTGGTTCTGAGGAGGTAGAACAATAATTTAGGCCGATATAGATGTTTGGTGACATATCGTATCGGTAATAATTATCTTTGTGCGCAAATACTTGTAATTTTGCAATTTTTCACTTGTAATTTTCACCCCTAAAATGTTGGAACCAGCTGTAATTGCACAATGTATCCAGCAGAGGGCACGTGAAGACTTTAGTGCTAGAATACCCACAGTTCTTAAGGATTTTCCACAAGTTCCAGAGCTAACACCAGGACTGGTCTTTAATGTTTCTCTAAAAATCAAGTTCTAAGTTGTATTTTGTCCCACACAGCTCTGTCCAAAGGGAAGCAGTCCATCCACACCATCCTGCTCAACCCCCACGTCCACCTGATTGGAGACGAGGCCGCCTGCATCGCCTACATCCGCCTCACTCAGTACATCGATGGCAATGGCATGCCCCGCACCATGCAGTCAGAGGAGACCCGTATATGGCACCGCCGCGACAGCAAGTGGCAGAATATCCACTTCCACCGCTCCGGGTCCCCCACCGTCCCCACCAAGTACGACCCTTTGAGTCTGAACTAATTCAGGTTTTTGTAGTAAAGAATGGTCGTTTTATTTTATTTAGGAAAAGACCTCCTTCACACCCGATGACCAACCTCTACAACCTACATGACCCATTAGAATCTGGTTGGATCACAACAAATATGACACTTAGTTGAAGGCAGTCTGTGCACACTTCCTACTGCTTTCTGTCCCTCTGCTGAGTCCAAGTTCAGATTTTTATTTAATTCGTCATCACAAAAACTGTAAAAACATACAGACGAGCAGACAGGTCACTTACAGGTCAGGATCTTTATCAGTATTTTATACCGTTTAGCCAGGGCTTAATTTGTAAACCGATTGATGCTGTAAGACAAATAGCAGGTGTGTGTGTGTGTGGGGGGGGGGGGGGGGTCTGCTGGGTCCTCCCCCAGAAAATTTGGAATAAAAGAGATGTCATTTCCTGCATTTTGGTGTATTTTAACTGGTTGTTCAACATCTGGAAACATTTGATTAAATTGATTAAAAACAGGTCTCTTGTAAATGAGTTGTTGAGGCTCAATGAGACTAACAACAATAAATAAAGTTAAAAAAAAGTTAAATCTGGTCCTCTGGACATTCAAAAGAATACATATAAATTAAAAATTGTAGAAATGTGTAGTCTTTGATCTGAAAGACTTCCTCAGTTTGAGGTGCTGTATTCAGCTCAGTCTCTTAAATAGCACCTTCTCAGAGTGGATCAACCAGTTTTGCTGCTGACAACCAAAACCAGCTGCTCACATGACCAGCAAGGGCGTCAGAAGCATCCGTAATGTGGGGGGGACACAATGATGTGTGTAGGTATGTGCGCGCACGTGCACGTGTGTGCGCACGTAAAAAAAGGTGTTCATTAGTGAACAAAAAAGCAACATTTCACTTAGATTTCCTTTAATTCTAAACATTTAAAACATGTTTCTCACCAAGTTTGTTTAAATTCATCTGTGGATTTTAAAGACATTTTAACTTTAATACACTTTAATACGGAGCGTCACGTCGGCAGTATTCGTCTTTATAGAGAAATAAAAAACATCACCACTGGACTTTTTTACTTGTGTTCAACACTCCTCATCTAAATGATGTTTCTCATGAAGCTTGAGAACAATAAGGTGTGGGGTTTAAATACATTTCAACTTTAATGCACCTGAACACACCTCGTCTCTTACACCTGCAGCGTCTGACAGAGTCAGTTACTGCTGAGATAAGATGCTACAGACGTAGCTCCTCTCAAACATCCTCCTAACATGAATATATGTTTATGATCAACCCACTGGTCAACCACTGCCCACATTAAGCTGCTAAACTGGCGAGCGAGTAACACAGGTACCTCCACCTCCTTCACATGTGCGCGTTTTCTGCCGAGGCAGGAAGGGACGGTGGAGAGTTGGAGGTAACCAGGAAAACCTTGAGTGGAGTTTTAGTGGCATGAATATTCTCCTATTAATCAAGTGGACTGGATTTGTTCACAAAGAGAAACTACGCCGCCTGAACTAACGTTTTATAGTAAAAGTGGGGGGGTCCAAATGAACGTTTATTAATGTGTGTGTGGGGGGGGGGACTTGTCCCCTTCACATATAATGGTTGCGACACCTATGCCAAGAAGGACCATCAGCCTAACGATGGATCATTAGCACCCTGATGGCTGTTTACTATTCACAGAGGGCTGAGTGATACTAGCAATCACAGCATTGTAAGAGGGGGACAGTTGAACCCGGAGGCCTCCACCCCTGTTTAATGATGGACGATTTCTTTTCACAAAGATGGCCTCCTTTACTCCTCTCTCAAACCATCGTTCCTCTCTATCCAGGATGGGCACATCTTCATCCCTGAAAGAGTGACCACTGGCCTGGAGATGAGTGTAGACCACAGAATCCTGGCCTGATGATGTTGATCTTCTGTGCTGGGCCATCCTTTTGGTCAGTGGCTCACCCTTTGGAGCACAAGTTAGGAGTCATCAGGACTCTGTATCACAGAGCAGACAGCGTCCCCACTAGCTCAGGAGCCAGGCAGAAGGAGAAATCCTACACAAAACAGGCTCTAGAGCAATGTGGATATCCTAACTGGGCCTTCCTGAAAGCAGAGAAGAAACCCAAACAGGACTCCAGTCAACCATCAGGTGAAAAGGAGGAACCCAGACCCAGACCAGTGGTCATTCTGTATGTTGAGCAGTGTTGGGAATGTTACTTTTAAAAAGTAATTAATTATAGTTACTAGTTACTTCTCCCAAAAAGTAACTGAGTTAGTAACTGAATTACTCCCCTATAAAAGTAATTAGTTACCAGGGAAAGTAACTAAAGTAACTATTGTTTGATTGTTTGGTTTAAGTTGAGATATATCTACGAATTTAAAGTAGAATTGCAAAGACAAGTACTTAACACAAAACTTTTAATACTTACTGCACCTCAACAGAACATGACTGGTTGACATACTATACTTCAAGTTTTTTCTTCATTACAAAAATACAGTTTAACTAAATAACATAACAATTGTGTTTTTAGCTTTATGTACACACTGTACTGTTCAAGTGTTTTCTTAGAAATAAAAGTAAACAGTTAAAATAAGTGTTTTAACTCTGTAGTGTAAAATAAAATCAAACCCTCACACAACTGGTTCTTCAAGTATTTTCTTAAAAACAAAATAACCATTTTAACAATACGAAGTACTTTTAAAACAGTACTGAAAATCTGAATTACCTGAACAAACCCAACATTAGCTACTAAACTATCCATGCATAGATGGATTCATTTATCCACTCAGTCAACCCAGTCATCTGCTGACCATCTTACCCCTTAAACCAGTGATTGTATCTTAGAAGTAGAAGCCTTTCAAACTTCTGGTCAGAAAGTCTGTTCCTCTTTGGAGTGAAGACAAGCTTCCCTAAGCTAAACAGTCTTTCCACAGGGGCACTAGATGGAGTGGCTGCATTGTATTTGAGTGAAATTTTCTTTACAAGTGGAAATCCATTAAGACTGTCCATCCCTTGTGCTCCTGATTTGAAATAATCAGCAACTTGGCTTTCAGCAGTAGCAGAGGTGTCATCCTCATCCTCAAAGGAGAAGAACTCATCCTCCATGGCTGACTCAGTGCATGCTGGTGTGATGGTAGTACCTGTTCGCTGGTCTTCATTTTGAGCACTTTTCCGGCACTCTGCTAGCAGACTTGCCTTGGCCTTGTCCTTCCTGTCCTGCATCCGCAGCCAACGTAGTTTAAACTTGGGCAGAGTCACAGCAGCCAAGACGGCATTCTCACTTTCCAGCACCTCTGCAAATCTTGTTTTGATAGCCTGCAATGATATACAAAGTAAATATTATACTGACTATCCATACACACACACACACAGCATTACACATTGTAAGTTTACAAATATATTTAATTTTACATTGTATCTTTTCATTGTGTTTAAAAATATATATTAGTTCTTACTGTAACAATTGCCTCTGGAAAGTCAACGAGGATTTGCAGACCACTCTTCAGGTCCAGGGTCTTCAACATCAATGTCTCCAGTGTGGGTAGGAGTGTGCCATGGAAACAGTTGTCTTCTCCCTGAAGTATGTCTAAGGCTACTGTTAGTGGCTTCATTACCATACAGTATTCCTTGAGGAACTGATGCTCCCGTTCTGTGATGGCTTTCAAAACAAACTCGGAAGAGATGGTGTTCAGTGCAACTATAGGGATCTCACAGATGCGAGCAAGGGCATTATAAAACGAGTTCCATCTTGTACTGCAAGGGACTAGCAGCTTCCTTGCGATTACATCATCAACAGTCTCTGCAGCCACAGTTGAACGGCTAGCCTTGTTCCATAAAGCTGTGCATTTGGTTGTAGCACTCCTGTATATTGCTTTTGTTTCTGTTCTTGACAGTATCCACTTGTCAACATCAGTACATGAAACAAGGTTTAAAGTGTGTGATGCACATCTCTGATGTGGTGGCAAAGTAATTACATCATCATTATCATCATCACCAACACTGTTTTGCAAGACATCATTAATGTTCACAAATGTCACCTCATCTTCATCATCATCAGACTCATCATCCTCCACAGGCTGGTACTTCTTGAAGGCTTTGACAAAATTAGAGCCATTATCCGTGACAGTTGATGTTATTTTGTGGGTTATGCCATAGAATGAGTGAATGTTGTCAAGCTCAGTTGCAATACTGTCATGTGTATGACGACCTTTAAATCGTCTGCATGCCAGGGCTGCTTTTCTTCGTTCCATGCTTTGTGGATGTATCCAGTGGGCAGTTACGCCAAGATAACTTTTATTATGTGCAGTCCAAATGTCTGCAGTAGTAGAGACATATTCTAATTCTTCAAATCCAGTCTTCAGCTCGGCATTCATTTTAGCGTACTCAGCATCTATGTATTTAGAAAATGTCTTTCTGCATGGAGGACCGACGCCTGCTCTCCCCGGTATTTTGCCAATAAGGGTTCTGAATGAGTCTGAGTCAACTGTTGATAATGGGAGCATGTTTTCAACAACATACCTGCCTATCAATCGGTTTAGTTCATTCTGCGTCACAAGTTTCTGTGAAGCTGGAGCAAAAAAATCCACCTTTAACTGCTTGGACGGCGTAGCTCCGCATTCTTCTTCGTTAGCAGAGCTCACGTTAGCCACACCTGGTCTGCTATCATCATCAGTACTGTCAACAGCAGTGTTTTTAGCCACGAGTTTTGTTGAACCATGTGCAGTTGTGAGATGCTTCATCAGATTAGAGTTGCTTACGACGGACGTAGACAAACACTTCGCTCCAGGACATAATGTACACTTCACACTCACGTTCTTGCCTTTTACCTCAAGGAGAGTAAAGTAGTGTCTGTATTTCCACTTTGAAAACGCCAGCTTTCCCTCCGGACTCGCCATTGCTGCAGGACTTCTGCTAACTTTTCAGATTTGGAGCTGCAGCGTGTGGTTTGCGAGTGAACTGAACAACAAAACCTCTGATTGGCTTACCTCTCTTTACCTGTTACTCTACCTTAGCCAATCATCATCATCCTTTATATGATTGTTTCACCCCTCCCTCCTACCCTCACCAAGGAAAAAAAGTAAACAAACAGCTTACGACAAAATAACGTACCCCATTTAGTGGTTGTAACGGTAACGGCGTTGTAACGATAGACATAGTAACGACTTAGAGTACCCGTTAATGAAAAAAATAACGCCGTTTGTAACGCCGTTTATTTGTACTCCGTTATTCCCATCACTGATGTTGAGGGAGTATCAGAGAAACTGAGACTTTTATTTTCTAAACATAACGTCCCAGTGGCTTTTAAACCCCAAAATACATTACGGCAAAGACTGGTTCATCCCAAAGATCCAGTCCCCGGCACAAACAGAGTAATGTTGTGTATGCTGTTCAGTGTCAGGAGGGTGATCAGTTTTACATCGGGGAAACTAAACAGCCACTGGCCAAAAGGATGGCCCAGCACAGAAGATCAACATCATCAGGCCAGGACTCTGCGGTCTACACTCATCTCCAGGCCAGTGGTCACTCTTTCAGGGATGAAGATGTTCACATCCTGGATAGAGAGGACGATGGTTTGAGAGAGGAGTAAAGGAGGCCATCTTTGTGAAAAGAAACCGTCCATCATTAAACAGGGGTGGAGGCCTCCGTGTTCAACTGTCCCCCTCTTACAATGCTGTGATTGCTAGTATCACTCAGCCCTCTGTGAATAGTAAACATCCATCAGTGTGCTAATGATCCATTGTTAGGCTGATGGTCCTTCTTGAGCATGTGATCAGCTGGTTTTGGTTGTCAGCAGCAAACTGGTTGATCCACTCTGAGAAGGTTCTATTTAAGAGACTGAGCTGAATACAGCACCTCAGTCTGAGGAAGTCTCTTGGATGAGAGACGAAACGTTTCTACAATTTTTTTTTTTCTTTAAATGTCCAAAGGACCAGATTTAACTTTTTTTTTTTAGATGTTTCTACCTGGATTTTTGAGCATGCATCAGGATGTATAAATAAAGGTCGAATTGAAATGACTATTTTAGAGAGCAACAACAACAAGCCAAGCGGCTCAGATTCTGTCAAGCATCCTACGAGCACCACGAGCAGCTTGTTTAGAGACACTTCAAGCACATTTTCACATAAATCTGTGTTTTCAGCTGTGACCTGACATTTTCAGATCATCTCATCAGAGCCACAAGTGGAAAACTAAACTACAGCACCAAGTCCTAAGAAAATGTGCCAGTTGAGCAGAATGAGTTTTCTGCTGCTTTGCTTTTGTAAAGATTAAGAGTCCGACAGGCTGCTTCGTTATTAGCAGGCTGTAGATTTCACCTGCTAGCATGTTAACTCTTGTAGCTTGATATAAGCATCTGCTTTCAAACAATGTCACCTTGAAAAGAGACTGGTGTTGTTCTGCTGGTAATCTGCTGAATGAAATGTACAACCAACCAGTGACTTGTTTTATTTTAACAAACTTAATAGTTCAGAGGGATTGCCCCCTCGGCTGCTGTTCACAGCCGAATAACTGCTGAAAGCACAGTAACTGTTTGAGGCTTACTTCCTAGTCTGTTTTCTGTTTACCTGTCCTAAGAGTGTTGATAGGGAGTGAGACACAATGGTATGGTTACCATGGGGACCCTAATGAGACCCTGGCAGCAGCTTTAACATTACGATCTTGGGTCTCTTTACGATCCACGTTGAGTGTTTTGTCTATTGGTTCTGATCCGGTGTGAGACTGACTGTTCTGATGTGATTCTCTTCCAGCTGAGTCCACGATCTTCCACTCCTCCAGCCTGCAGCAGTCGACGGACCAAACCCTGCCTTCCATACAGCCATGAAGCCCCTCAGCCAAGCCCCGCCCACCTCTGCTAAAGCCCCGCCCCCAGTGTGTTGTTTACATATTGTTGCTGCTGTTGGACTCGAGGACCTCGCTCACGTGAAAACGCCAACAGAAGAAGAGAGAATGAGGGAAATATCACAGAGTGGCGCGAATGCTGGATGTTCATATCTCATATTTGGTTCTTTTAGATACGAATATTTTAAACATGAGCTGCTTATTCTGGAGGATTTTTATAGGTTCACATATTTTATGAATCTTTATCGTTTGTGACGTACATGCCCATAGGCACGATAAGCGATATATTACATCTGCTATTTTACTTGTGGACTTTGCAGAACCACCATCAAACCTGAGCCGCTTCGTTTCAGTGATGTGAAGGTTTCGGCAAATGATGTCGTCTGTTTTTAGAGCTTGTTCTTTAGCTGCATTTTAGAGTTGATGATCCGTTCAGCTCAGTTCTTTGCTGCCATTGAGCCATTTCCGTCATGGCGACGCAGCTTCTTCTGTCAGAACCTAAACTGGAGCCGGATTCATTCAGTTGGATCTGGGCGAAGCTGACGATGGATCATTTCTGCTTTGTTTACGGTTGAAACTGTAAAGTTGCTTTTCTTTTTTGCCCTCATCGTTTCCTTCATTTAGACTTCTAACGTTTGTGTTTTCTGTGTTCATGTTCCGCTTCAGCACCGTGTCCACGGGTCTGTAGGACCATTTAGGGTTTGGTTTTTTGGTTTTGGAGCTGGATTTTCTGTTCTCAGTAATTTTCTCCATCAGAATAAAATAAAAAGTGTTCAGATTAAAAACAGATTAGGGATTATATCGTGTGTTTAGGAGAACATATATTCTACAATCAAAGCTCATCATTATTTTCCACTGGGTGTCCATCTTCTCATCATGCTTGACTTGGATTCATTATTTTGTAGGTTTTTTTGTTGGATATGGAGGTCACAGGATCACCAAAACTTTCAACACATTTATCAAAGCGTTTAGATGTTTTTACAATCTATTGATGGTGATTATTGTGATGAATGATGTATGTTTAATGAAATCTGAATTAAAATGTAATTTATGCCAAGTGATTGTGATTTTTTTTTTTCCCCAGAAGGTTTAACACAGATTCATGTTGATTTGTTTATTCTCCAGAATTATTCATTTTATGGCAGCAGATATTTTACAGAAAAGAGTTGCATATCCATCCATTCATCATCTTCCTCTTGTTCTGGGGTCGGGTCTCAGGCAGCAGCTTGAGCAGGAAGGCCCAGACATCTTTCCACAGCTATTTCTTCCAGCTCTTCTGGGAGGACTCCAATATGTTCCCAGGCCAACCGAGAGACATACTCTCCAGTGTGTCCTGGGTCTTCCCCGGGGTCTCCTCCTTGTCAGACATACCCAAAGCACCTCCCGTGGGAGGCACCCACAAAGCATACTTACCAGATGAGCCATCTCAGCCGACTCCTCTTGATGTGGAGGAGCAGTGGTTCTACTGTGTCTCTCAGATAACTCTCAAAAAATGTAAAAACAAAATGAGACTTTATTTGTAACTCAAGACATTTTGCTTCTCATCTGAGGAGCTTTCTCAGTTCAAAGGAACAAGGAGTGTGGGATTCAAGTTATAAAGCTGTGGTCAGTAAGCTTGCATTATGCAGATTGACACATGCAGATTGACCTCTCACTCTTAACAGGATTGTTGGGGTCTTTGTTAGTCCCACCCACGTAGGGGCCACTGGTCACATGGTTGGAATTCCTGAAAGGTGTGAAACTTGACTATCAGTCCTAAAGCTGCATTGTAGCTGACATCTGAGACCTCTGTTTAAAGATGGTTTCTCTCTTTTACATAAAAAGCTTCCTTCGTTCCTCTCTCAAACCTTCTGTCCCCTCGATCCAAAATGCGAACCAGACTATGGACATTGTGAGAACGGTATGATAATCCTTGGATACCAAAGGAGTGAAAATGCATAGATTAAATACTGATAGTAATGAGACGGTGAGAAACACCTGCAGTGATTAGGATTGGGAACAGGTGTACGCAGCAGCACGAGAAGAAAAATGCAAGGAGGTGCAGACAGACCGTGACAGACAGATAATGGTCTCATACTCCTTCCCAAGGGGTGGCACCTGACATCCCCAAAGCAAGACTCCACAAAACGGGTGGAAGGAAGGAGGAAACCAGAGGGCACAAGAAAAAAAGGGACCAAAGGACAAAGAAAAGCAGGCAGGTAGGGACACTCAAGCCCACTAGTTAAGGTGGATGGATTGCCAGGAGATCATCCAGCATGGGGCAGGTGTTGAGGTGGCCAGCCAGGAGACCATCCATAGTTTCTTCGAGGTGATGTTTGCCTGGATCCTCCCCAACTCAGGCCAAAGAGAGGCAAGAAGATCGATGACCCTGCAGCAGGCGAGGAGGCCAGTGATGCGGCAGCTGCCATAGATACCACAGGGTCTGTATCTGGTGTGGAAACCAGACCATGGTCTGACTCCGACGCCCACGGAGACGCAGTAGTATGGGACATCATCCCCAACTCCTACTGAGACGTAGGAGTGTGGGTCTTTGTCCCCAATGCCCATGGACATCCTGGAGTGTGCCTCGTTGTAGCCGAACCCTGTGCAGGCACAGGAAGGTGGGTTTGGCTGCTTTGTCAGTATTGGCGTGCTGTGCTGCTTCATCGGCTGAGGCTGGCTGCTGCTTTGTTGACTGCAGGAGGTGTGGCTGCTTCGGGAGTTGTAGCTATCGTAGAGACCAGATAGGCTGCAGCTGTCACTGAGACCTCTGGAGGAGACACGAGGACCTTAGTGGCTGCAGGGTTTTTTGTTGGACTTGGTTCCTCCGCTGCATGAGAGTCTGATAGCCCTTCTGATGAGCGGTGTCTCGTGTGCCCCACTTCCTAAGAAATTCTCCACCGCTCCTCTTCCTGCGTCTTGGGAGTCTCAGTTGGGGGGGGGGGGGGGGGTAGCTGGAGTTTGGGATTCTGCTTTCGGCCCCTCTTGCAACGACGACAAGTATGGGATCCAGGAGGATCAGCAGGTGAACTCTCCTGAGCACGAGTTGGGAGGAGAACCAGGCTGGGGAACAGCTGGGGTGAAAGGTTGCAGGAGGAGGGGGCGCAGTGCACGTCTCAGTCATTGCTTCCTCAAACAATTCCCACATCTGATGAGTAAACCAGATCCTCTGACTGAGGACTCTAAGTCCTCTGTGACCACCATCCTGTCCCATGGAGGTGGGACAGGATGGTGGTCGTGAGGTAACCCACAATGTAATTGTGGGTTACCTCACGGATCCGTTGCCTGTCCTAAGAGTCCAACTTTGCAAGGGACCCGCAGCCTTCTGGGTTCAGTTTGTGATTGGGGAATCTGACATGTTCTGGTGTTTAAAGTGCTGAACCCACATGCAGGCAGAGGCAAGAGGACTCCAGAGTAAAAATAATTTATTTTACAAAAACACAACAAAATGCTGATGGGGCAGCAAAACTTACAAACACAGGAAAGCAGACCAGACTAAGGACACTGTTAGAAGGGTATGATAATCCCCAGATACCAAAGGAGTGAAAACACGTAGATTAAATACGGATAAGAATGAGATGAATGAGAAACACTTGCAGTGATTAGGATTGGGAACAGGTGTGCGTAGGAGCACAAGGAGAATAAAAACACAGGGATGTGCAGACAGACTGATAAGGATAGTTTAAGTAAGTGGGGAATAAAGTGGGGCTTCAAATTTTCAGTTGAAAAGACAAAAGTCATGTTCTACATCAATAAAAAGATCGGAGTTAATGAAAAGTTAAAATTATATGAAAAAGAGTTAGAAATGGTTGATTATTTTTGTTTTTGGGAGTACAGGTCCTTCTAAAAAATTAGCATATTGTGATAAAGGTCATTATTTTCCATAATGTAATGATAAAAATGAAACTTTCATATATTTCAGATTCATTGCACACCAACTGAAATATTTCAGGTCTTTAATTGTTTTAATACTGATGATTATGGCATACAGCTCATGAAAACCCAAAATGCCTGTCCCAAAAAATTAGCATATCATGAAAAGGTTCTCTAAACAAGCTATTAACCTAACCATCTGAATCAACGACGTAACTCTAAACACCTGCAAAAGATTCCTGAGGCTTTTAAAAACTCCCAGCCTTGTTCATTACTCAAAACCGAAATCATGGGTAAGACTGCCGACCTGACTGTTGTCCAGAAGGTCATCATTGACACCCTCAAGCAAGAGGGTAAGACACAGAAAGAAATTGCTGAACGAATAGGCTGTTCCCAGAGTGCTGTATCAAGGCACCTCAGTGGGAAGTCTGTGGGAAGGGAAAAGTGTGGCAGAAAATGCTGCACAATGAGAAGAGGTGACCGGACCCTGAGGAGGATTGTGGAGAAGGGCCGATTCCAGACCTTGGGGGACCTGCGGAAGCAGTGGACTGAGTCTGGAGTAGAAACATCCAGAGCCACCGTGCACAGGCGTGTGCAGGAAATGGGCTACAGGTGCCGCATTCCCCAGGTCAAGCCACTTTTGAACAAGAGACTGCGTCAGAAGCATCTCGCCTGGGACTGCTGCTGAGTGGTCCAAAGTTATGTTCTCTGATTACAGTAAATTTTGCATTTCCTTTGGAAATCAAGGTCCCAGAGTCTGGAGGAAGAGAGGAGACACAGAATTCACATTGCTTGAGGTCCAGTGTCAAGTTTCCACAGTCACTGGGGTGTCATGTCATCTGCTGGTGTTGGTCCACTGTGTTTTATCAAGGGCAGGGTCAATGCAGCTAGCTATCAGGAGATTTTGGAGCACTTCATGCTTCCATCTGCTGAAAAGCTTTATGGAGATGAAGATTTCATTTTTCAGCATGACCTGGCACCTGCTCACAGTGCCAAAACCACTGGTAAATGGTTTACTGACCATGGTATTACTGTGCTCAATTGGCCTGCCAACTCTCCTGACCTGAACCCCATAGAGAACCTGTGGGACATTGTGAAGAGAAAGTTGAGAGACGCAAGACCCAACACTCTGGATGAGCTTAAGGCCGCTATCGAAGCATCCTGGGCCTCCATAACACCTCAGCAGTGCCACAGGCTGATTGTCTCCATGCCACGCCGCATTGAAGCAGTCAGTCAT